CAAAATGCAGTGGGGCGACAGTTACATGTGTTTCTGGAAGAACACAAGTTACGTCTCTGCTCCATGAGCTGCATTGGTTACCACTCTGTTTCCAGGTCCAATTCAAGGTGCTGTTTTTGATCTTTAAAGCCCTACATGGCATGAGATTGGGTTATCTGAAAGATTGCTTCTCCCCGATTGCATCTGCCCATCCCAACAGATCCAGCAGAAAGGGCATTCTGTGGGTCTTGTCGGCTAGGGAGCTACATCTGATGGGTCCTAGGCAGTGGGCCTTTTCTGCTATGGCACCCCCTCCCCCCAAAGTGAGGCTGGCTTCATCCCTTTTGACTTTCTGTAAGTCCTTCAAAACATGGTTCTGCCATCAGGCCTGAAGACCCTAGGGGACTGGTGAAATATTGAGGTGGCTCCATTGTTATTAACATCTGCTCTTTGTCCAATATTTCATCTGTTTTAGCTCTGTGCTTTTGTTTATTGTTTAAAGATTTATAATAAGAACAATTGTTTTGTAAATATTAATTGTTTTTCAGCTCTGTTGTACACCATCCAGAGTCACTTGTTTGTGTGATGGGTGGCCATATAAATTTGACAAAGAAATAAATAAACTTGTGCTTTTTGAGAAAACAGTGTTGCAGAAAAATCCATTTACTGTAGTCTAACAAAACATCATTTAAGACAATGAAACTAACAGTTGATTCAGTTAAATAAGTTCATTACTGAAGTGCTTATAGATGTTAATTTGATTATATCATTTATTTACATCTAGCAACACTTTTTCTTTTCTTCTGTCTCTTTTACAAAGTTCATAAAAATAACTTCTACACAGAAAGTAATATATTTGTAAATATAAATTATATTTATAATTATATTGTAATGTATTACTTTTACAAATTGATTAAATAAACATGGGTATATCTATTTATGACAGGAAAATCCCTGCTACATGTTTCCAAATATAAACTCATATAAGAGAAACCTCCCTGACTAAATATGCACGCTGCATAATTTTATTTTTTAAATTTCAAAGTCATGTATTTCATGAAATGGTGCATACCAGCTTTACTTCTTTTTCAATAAACAATGAGATTAAATGCTTTTAAGATCAGCTTCACCATTATAAACCAGCATATTACGAATTATTTAGTTCTGCAAGGTATTTTTACTACTAGGATAATTATATCTTTTTTTTCTAAATGTTTTTGTCCATCTCTGTTCCAGATCTGATCTATTTTAACCCAAAACTGAGATGGGACTGATGAGTTTTCCTGATTATCTCTCACATTTACTTGAAATCATTCCTTCTTTATAAGGAAAGCAACAGAACAGATGGATTCAATTGAAGATTTAAGTCAGATATTGGCTGCATTCTAACTAAAGCTAAATAAGCCCATAATTTCCACTTGGAAATGATATCTTGCATCTTTTTTCATTAATCTAGGCTCCTATCATTCAAGGTACTTTAAAGAATGACACAAGAAATGAGAAACCTATAGTTCTCCAATGCTGCTATATTACAATTTGCAGCATACAGAAAGAGGTGCTCTTTCAGAAGTTTGTATTTCACTCAGAAAAAAATTTGGCAGCTAGTGCAATGCTTTTCCTTTTTAAATGTCTTATCAGATGAGTTTAATAACTGTAAATGCTGCATTTGACTGCTACTTACCCTGAGTATTATTTTTTATGAAAAGTTCAGGTTTAGTATTTGAGTGAGACATTATTAAATAAATCTGCAGAAGAAGAACATTAAAAATGTTAACTTCCAAAACATCAGATTATGTTAGTTTTCCTCACTGACTCTCTTACTACATTTGCAACTCTTGTGACTGGTAGGATGCAATATTGGTAGTAGAGGAGGATAAAGAAAAAAAAATCTGTCCAATGCATATGATTCAACAGCTACTAAAGCAACCCATACAAAATTGTCTCGCTCAGTTCATAGCAATATGTTTCCTATCCCTTTTCCAGCAAAGCAAAGTCTCAGAACAACTTTTCTTTTCTTACTGCCATCATGTTAAGTATTTACTTTAACATGTCTGAAAAGTTAAAATATTCTTAATCCTTCTAAAGATATGGGCTATTGTGGCTTGTCAAACATTTATTGAAAATGCAGCAGAGCATTGGGAGACGTTTTAAGGACCTTTTTGCTATTTATATGAAATATTAAATGGCTAATATTGCAACCATATGCAAAATTATAACTCGTCAAGTACAGTTCTCTTCCAAGTTAAAAATAGATATGATTGGACTGAAAGATATTCAGGCATTAGTTCAATATCTTTTTTAAAAACTGTTTAACATATAGATATAATGGTAAGAAAGATAGCCATATAAGTGGCCATTTATACAGGCCACTTTTTATATAAAGTACAGTATACAATATCATATTCATTCCTTGCTTTCAATGATCATGTTTCAACAACACTTACAAGCAGTGATTATGGTGAATCAGACAGAAGGACAGAAATTAAAACATTAAAGATGAAAAAAATTATTTGTCATGCTGTAAACCTAAAAAGTGAATGACTACAGAGCAGTATTAACAAGGCATTGACTTGGTTATGGACTCATAACCATAGTTTGTAGAAACTATTTGTTTTTAAACAAGTAGTTTCTGCAAAAATAGGAAATCCTACAGCATTTTGTTAACGAGTTAATGGCGAATTTGTTCCATGACTCAGATTTTAGGAAAGCCTTCACATATTGTAAATAACAGTGGTGAATAAGATACATAGTTTTCTGTAAATTTTGAGTAAAACTACAGCATGCAAGAATGAAACAGGAGTATTATAAAAGGGCTCCAGTATTCCTAAGACAAAGATTTTTTATAAAGTGCCAGGCCTGCCTAGGCTTCTCCTTCAGGCAAGTTGGCAAGACTTTCAGAATCAAAGAACAGTTTTCCCATGGCTTATGCAGTAAGAATTCAACATGAGTCACCATTCTCAATTTGTTTCAGTTTATACTCTTAAGAGGCAGAATGATCTAGACAGCAGTCTATCCCAAACTTCCTCAGTGTGGTTCTGTTCTAGAAGTACTACATGCCTGTTGAGAACTCTGGATTTGTGCTCTAGCATATCTGGAGAGAGCTTGGGTTTGAGAAAAGTTGGCCTATCCAGCTACTATTCAACTTACATAGTATGTTCTTCAAGACTATCATTGTTTATTCAATGGGTTAACCAGCTTTAGTAGTGCCTACATTTTCTGCTTCCACTGAAAGCCAAATGGACAATTAGTTCTAAAGACACCCTACCTCTCTTGACCAAGAAGGCAAGAAAGCTAGCCAAGTTCCCTCCCTGTTTCAAAGAAGTCCCATAAGGCACTTTATTTCTTCAGTTTCTAATCCAAAACCAAAGTTGAAAGGATGTATTTGTCTCAATCTTCTGCACAAACAAGAACATAATTATCTAATTGGAAATAGCCTAGCAGTTTCAAATTCACCGTGGCTGTCAGCAGTGAACCTATCTGAGCAAGTTTCAACAATGACTTGGCTGGTTAAATCTGGGCCAGTTAAAAGCCAAAATAAAAAAGTACTGGGAAAAATGCCTAAAATTACAAAGCAAAACAAAAATACTGCCAATTGGTTTGCTCTTCTTGATTGGGCATGACAAAGACAATTGCAGAGGGGGTGCTATGGTCAGGAAGAAGATTAGGTTCCCTTAGAAACAGGTCATTGTAGCAAACAAGATCAGCATTAATATAACTAAGGCTTCTCTAATGGGGTGCTCTCTAGAGAAGTTGGACTATAATTCCAAAGATGATAGGACTTGTTGGTTGGAAAGATCTTAAGTAACACATTTTAAGCATTATTATTAATATTTGAACCATTGTTCTTTTTTTAATATATGAAACATAAAAAAGAACCATTTTTCAATTAATGTCTTGAATTTGAAACTTGGATCTTTAAAGGCATGCGCATATATACAAACCATCTCCCATCCAACCAACACATACACCATACACATTTTGATCAGACAACTTCCATTTTTGGAAGCTTGAGAAATGTCTCCTTCCATACAATTGTTCAATCCCATTAATTCATAGGGTAATGCCTATGAATAGAGGGAACAGATGCTTTGTCTGGAAAGTACCGGCTTTTGTTATACAATAGTTTGGCTCAAAGTCTACCTAACATTTTAATTGGTGCTAGAGGTCATTGCTCAGTCATATAAGAAACAAAAGACTACATTACAAGTCTAGGTCTTTCAAAAAACAGCCAGTCCTTCAAGAGCAATCAGCCACACTTCAAACCATCATAAATTTCAATATATATCTCTAGTCAAATGGATGGTGGCTTACATGCCAGCATAGTATCTCATTATTGGCAGCAGCACAAGGTTCCCAATTAAACAATGACCGCTCTGCTACCTTTTAAAGACTAGAAACTGGTGTTCCATTTGATCTAATAGATTATAGTACAAATAAGTAATGCAAAAGCAGTTTCAGAACAAAGGATATTCTCAAAATATCCTATATTACAAAAATTTAATCTTGAAGCAAGCAGAGAATTCTAAATAATTTTTATTACATATCAGTGAGTAAGTGGAATTTGATTACCAAGCATCATCAGATCAAAGTTTGAATGTACCAGATGTGGCAATTAGCAGTTATATATATGGAATCTGTTCCCTATCAATTGACCCAATTAAGTACATCTGGTTTAGATTGGAGTGAAGATAGATGATTTATTAGATACTAGAATACTTGAGGTGAGGCAAAGGTCACAAAGAGTTTGACATGCAGGCAGCCAGTTGGAAATTTACACACAGAAAACTTATCAGCTGAGTGCCATATTATGTAATATAAAGCAGATCTAAAGCTAACCATATGAAGTTCAAAGAAACACAAGTAAAATTAGGAAATGAGTTTCTTAGCTTGCAAAAAAAAGGGCAGAGCATTTTTCTTCAAAATGAAACAATGAAAATCTATTTCAAAATCCATGTTGAAAGATCCTTTGCAATATGCATTCATATCATAGCACAGCTATGGGGAAAAGTAGCAGTACTCACCCATCATTCCACATGAGAAGAGAGTGGATCCTTGACTCATCTTCTTTGGAGTGTGCTGAAAACAAACATAAAATCTAGTCACACATTTTTAGGAATTATGCTGAAATCCAGGCCATATTATAATATCTTCACTCCAAACACCAGAAAGGCTGTAAGATCAGATATGCAAGCAAAGCTAAAGTGACAATGACAATCTTGAAAACACCTTGTTCTGCTATTTTGTAGTTTCCAGTCATTGTAATGATTCTCCCTTGAACAATATTGAAAACTACACAAAAGGCTAATCCAGAGAAAATATTAAGTTGTAATTCTGTCAACATGCTAATAGAAAATTTAAGTTTTGCAATTGTCCATTCCATTTTTTCTTCAGTATTATATTGATTATTTTAAAAAATAATTAATATTGAAATTTGTATTGTATTTTTAAAAAGTCTGCTACTTCCAAAACATTTCTAAATTGTTTCCATAGGGTTGATCTTGTTCTTAGTGGAACAAAGTTGAAGCAATCAAAACCAAAATTACTCCATACTGTATAAAAAGAGAAATAATCCAAACTGTTTTCTTGTAAATCTTTTTACACTGTTCATTTATATCAGTATCATCACTGTAGGACTCTTATTTAAAAAAGAAAACAGAGACAATGCAGGAATCAATAAGAGAAATTTGTCCAGCGACTGCAGTAATGGTTCTAAAGTTTAACTAGCTGGCTCTGTTTTTAATAAATCCAGCACTGTCTCTTCATATTTTGCTCTTCTTTTCCCTTTCTAAATCATTTAATTTGCCAAAAAAGAGGCAATTTATTATAGAGAAAAGTGCATTTAAGTTTATATTAACAATATAATATCAGACACATTTATTAATGTTGTTAATAAATTTTATCTTTCACCAATTATCTTTTTTGTTTGTTTTTATAACAAATTTTTATAACCTTATAACACAATGTGTCTATTCAGAAATAAGTTTTATTGAACTAAATGGATTAAGTGCTAAGTAAATTTCAGGTTCATACACAATAACAATTAGGCTGGAGTGCTGTACAGCAAATAAGACCCACTAAATTAAAGACATAGTATTTCCAGGAATGTTGAAGCAGTAGGAAAACTTTGTTTTCCCCATTTTTTTCACCAAAAGAAGAGAAGCTAAGAGAAAAAATAAAATATATGCAATGCTTATTTTAGCATCCTTTATAGATATAAAGTCACTTTAATTTCATAATATGTATAACATATAACTTGGGATCCTCATAAACATATGTTTGGTGTATAAAATTGAAAAGTACAATTTACTTAGACGACAGCTGTATGTATGCATATAGGTATATATGTGTGTTTGTGCTCATTAATGTACAGTACATTAAAAAAAAATTTTTTTTAAGAGCTCCAAGTGGAGCTCCAAGTTAAAAAGTATAGCTTCTGTTTATTTTTGCCTATTTAGGAGAATCAGCCATTTTTTAATAAAAAAGTAATGTCTTTTGGATTTTATCTTCTACAGTAAACACTGATTTTCAGGAAAATGCTGAGGGGGAAGAAGTGGAAAGTAAGGCTCAGAATACACTTATTGTCACATGAGATGTTATTTAATCAATCTTTGTAGCAAATTCCATCCTACAGTCACTGACAGTCAGCCACATCTGAGTTTCAATCCATATTCAAGCTGACTGAGGCCATGGCTTGGAATCACATATGCTGGGAGATTATCTAAAACATCTTCCCTTTCTGCTAGGTAGAAAAATTAGATCCTTTTAAAATACAGGATGAAACTGGGAATGAAGTTTAGATAAAGGAGAGGAATACTAATGTTCTCCTGAGCTCTTCTTAAAGCTTGGAATCTACAAGAATAAAATCCAGGGAAACAAGCAGGACACTTCTGCATCAGGAATCCATTTGTCTCTAAGGAATAGGTTTAGCCATAGAACATAGAATTGTAATCTTCATTTATTTTTGTCTCTTGCTATTTAAGCTTTATTGTCTTTGGTGTTTATTTTCTCTGTAGAAGCTCAGTAACTGTGTGTGTTATGCAACTTAGAACTTCTACAGTGGAGTTGTTTCCAAATTACAAGTATACCAACATCATCTTGTAAAATTTCCTACCCGCTGGGAGATCTTCTTAAATCCCACCTGTGATTTGAAGAATTCTGTCTTTTTATCTTCTTTGCCAATGAATGTTTTGCATGTGACTAACAGCTAAAAAGGGATTTTTTTTAACATTCTCTTTTATTTTTTTTAATAAAATTTGATTTTATTTATTTCTTATGAGATTGGTCTATCTCCCAAAGGGAAGGGGAAACAGCTGATCACCTTAGCCACATGCCTCTATGCCACAGGACCAGGAGGTGATGCTATAGCATTTATTTCATTTATTTCTCTTTTTCATTTTTAATTTGCTAGAAAAGCAGCTCAGATAATGAGAACCCGATCTTTCTCACATACCACGGTTAAGGGGAGGGTACCAGATGAGGCATACACACACCAGAGAACACACCAAGTCAGGAGGTGGAGCTGGATTTTCTAGACCTGGAGGGTTCCTGGAAGAGGAGATTAAGACTTCCATCTGTTTACCTAACAGGCTCAACCATAGCATTACCATCTTATTTTGTGAATCTGACATATTACCAAATCTTCAAATCAGTTTTTCGAATCCTATTTTTATTATTTTATCTTTTTTAATATTTTATAATTTTTATTATATTATAATTTTCATGGTATTTTGAAAATAAAATGTTTGCCTATATTAAAATAAACTTCTCTACTCTTTCACCTTTAGTTTCTTTCCTGATCTGGTATAAGTATTTCAAAATTCAGAACATTTGTTTCATAGCTTAACCATGTTATGCATTATTTAAAATTAACACATTATGGTATTTTTCATAATCATTTTCACTGCACTGAAAACTGCAGTGCTTCTAATTTTATGGGATATTATAAAACAAACAAAGCACCAACAAAAACTCCAGGGTTTTCCTGAATTTTTCCATTTTTTCTGGCCCTTACCTTGAAAATTTACACTTTTTATTTATTCAAAAGGCAAAGCTTAGGCCCAAGAAAAAAAATGAAAATGAGGAAATGAGACCATTTATGTCTGTCTTAACTGTAATCACATTTCATAATGATTAAACCATATAGTAAAATCAGGAAGTAAAGGAGTATGTTACTCATCATCTACAATATTTCTCTTATAGTAAGTAAAGAATTTATTTCCTGTATTTCTACTCAGTTAACTTGATCTATAACCTTTGTGAACCGTAAGATGCCTTTTGGTTTATCTGCATCTGCTTTGCTAAAGTTTCCTTGGATGTCAGGAAATAGTAAATATTAATAGGATGTTAAAACATGCAAGATATTTATCATTCATCAAAATGTGGTGCCTAAAAAAAAGAAAAGAAAACCAAACCAAAAATTGGTATTAAGTCCCTATTTCCATGTTCAGAATAAATTGTGAATGTGTATGAGTGCAAGGGGGGGGGG